ACATAACACTCCAAATCAATATGTATCCGATAACTAGTCTGCGATATCACTTCGGTGGAAGCGAACGTTAAATAAAGATATTTCACACACACACACACATCCGAAAAATACTAGACATTGCTAACTCTGTTTCTTATCACACGCGGTTATAGCACTCGGCAAACCTCGGCAGATTCCATTACTCTACATCTAGCCTTGGCTGTATGACGGTAAGTGATATGTACCTACGCCTGTACAATTGCCATGCTGCACTGGTTTCCTTATAAGGAAAACTTTCCAGTTTTAAAAAAAGTTATAAACGTCGTCCGAAGCGTGTTTAGAATTTTCAGAGCAAAGTTGTCCTTGTTTGAAGAAAATCTGATAGACTTGAAAGAAAAACAGCTTCAGACTTTGAAATATTTGTATGAAAAAACTGGAATCTGCTGAGGTTTGCCGAATGGCAGTTATAGTACGATAACTGAAATCTCACGAGACGCGTGAAACTATGAAATGAATACGTGACAAATTTCACGCGTCTAGTGTCGAAGAAAAGATTCTATTTTGATGGCATATTCTCGGATTTATGATTATATTTTAAATGGGGTTTATGTTTTTAATTAAAGAAATAAGTACGCTAAGCAATGTTGACGAATATGTCGATTGGAATAGTGTAAGTACTTAATTGTTTAAGACGATAGCGCGGGCTAGGGTCGAATGCGATTATTTAGCAGATGGTGTCACGCTCGTTGAGGTAGAGCGACGTTTACAGCCAAATAAATTTCAGGATATCATTTTTTTACCCTCCGTATATAAGTCGAAACAGAGTATAAGAAGAATGCCGGACTTCTGCTGAAAAATGTATCAACTTATGACCCGAAAAATACGTTAATTTTGGAGGAATTTGAAACAGTACGGATCGGCAGTAGTCTGCACGCTTTCATTCTATCGTATTACGACATCACGTAATTTTGTATGAATATTACTGACATAAATTTGAATAACGTACAGGAATTAAATATGAAAAATACCGAGGTGCATCTATTTTTTTTATTAAGTACGAATTTGAATATTTTGTTGATACGTGATTTTTGTGTGTGGTCTAAAAACTGCCTTCTTAAATAACGATAAGACTTATGTCCCGTTATTTTCGGTAAAAATGTCTGACAAGAATAATTTTGAAATCGCATCAGATATTTCAGAGTGATCTAGGGACATAACTCTGGCAGTAATTATTGGAAATCGTTGAAAATCAATTAGCTTCTTTGCCTCATGACCTTAAACACAGTGTATAAATTTAAAGTCAATCGGATATTAACTTTAGCCTCTAGAGCGTCCACAAGATTTTTCAAAGTGATCAAGCGTCAGAACTCTGGCAGTAATTATCGGAAATCGGTGAAAATCAATAGGCTTCTTCGTCTCATGACCTTAAACGCTGTGTATAAATTTAAAGTCGATCGGATATTAACTTTAGCCTCTAGAGCTTAAACAAGCAATTGTTGATACTGGACAGGGGCGCAGATCGGCAAAAATTAGTGGTGGGGACTGTCCATGCGCGGCGACTATTGGTTAAGAGGGGGGGGGGTACTGGGGGCCTCCCCCGAAATTTTTCGAAAACTAGACGCTCTAAAACGCGCTCTGTGGGTATTTTCAGCATCATTTTCTGGCAAACAATTCTAATCCCTGAGGCAGCAAATGATACGAAATCTAATCTAAAGACAAATCTTCAAGCCACCTTTCACGATTTATTCTCTCATGTACACTACAAGAACTAGAAATATTTACACTACTGAGATTCCAGCTCCGCCTCCATTCCCAGTAGTGTTCGAAGACTACGTCAAGTCTTTGAGCAAAATGTGTATTCAATTGGATACACAAATGTACAGGCCTACAAATCTTTTAATTTATATAAACAAAAACAAGCCACACATACAGCTAAACATATGGATATTCAATGTAAAATTTTACTGTATTATTCATTGGTGATTAAAAATCATCCCACGTTAAAATTCAAAAATGGCGAACACATTGAAATACTAACTTTTCGCTTTTTTTTTTAAAAGTTAAATCTTGCTGTTTATATTGTTCCTACCTATTTTAATGATTCACATAGTACCTGTTGTATTATATTATCTATTTTGAATGTGATAGTGGTGATGTTATGTTAGATACAGAGTCGGGCCCATAGGCTGGAAGCAAGGTGGCCAGGTTCGTTTGTGAAACAAAAGGACCGACTATATAACTGAATGCCGCTGGCGTGAACTGCTAGAGGTGTGTGGGGAGGGGGGGCTTTTACAATTTTTTGAATTTTTGTTACAAAATAGTGTCTAAATATGCATTTTCAGTGATTCTGAGGAGTTTTTACCAATAACAAAATAGTTCAGAGAGCAATTTTTAATCAAAAAAAACCCATTCAATAAAGTGTTTAATATATTTAAAACTAAAGAACAGTACACTTATATCCACTCTGCCCGTTTCTATTCCCTTTGTTTTCTTTCTGGACGGCCCATGACAGGTTTTAAAAAATGTCTTTTCCGATAAATTTCCTAAATTTCTAAACCATCTTCAAAACAGCAAAAAAAATTTCACTTTCAAAAAGTACACGATTCTTGGCTCAGCTTACTGTACTCCAAAAAATAGAGGGTTCGAGTCTTAACTTTTAGATTTAATTGCCTATATATATATATATTCCACAGAGAGAGATAGAACCAGTCTTTAAAAAAAACGTTTATTTAATATGGCAGCAAATCTAGCAATGAATGGTTCCCCTGATATACAAATTAAATCTATAGTTAGGTGATTTATCATCCAGTATACCAGATAAAAACAAAATCTCAGTTATTCCTTAACCCTTTAATACCCAGCATATCAGATATGCACATGATATACATATTATTATAATCCCTATGGAATATTTTAATTATTTACTGTTATGATATGAATTATCACTAATTCCCTGTTAAATAAAAATCGGTCCCCGGGTGCAGCTGTACAACTTCAAGGACCCTGGCTTCAAGTGCCTGGGACCAACTCTACACTTTCTAAAATGTCAATAAAAGCTATGGAATTATTTCAATTTCAAAAAATAAACAGTAGGCAAAACATCGGAAATAAGTGGTGGGGACACCACTAAAAATATTGGTGGGGACGCGTCCCGGAGTCCCCACCGGGATCTGCGCCCATGATACTGGACCGCCGGGACGACAACAATATACAACCACATTTCAATGTGGGCGTATAAAAATTATGACCTCTAGAGGGATTATAAGCTAAAAATGTGATTTTTTGTATAATCAGGAGCCATAATCCAGGAACTGATACATGCCAATTTCAAAAGGAACCAAGATCTTTGGGACATAAACCTGTATTTTCAGTTTCGTCAAAAGCGGATAAAAATAAAAATAATAATGAATTTGTATAGCGCCTCTCATCTAGAACTGTTCTACTCGATGGCGCTGAGCTGCACTGTCACGTTTGGTATTCACAGTTAAACAAGTGAGTCTTCAAGGATAATTTAAAGGACTCTAAAGTTCTGGATTACTTTAATGTTGCTGGGAGTTTATTCCATTGGATGGGTGCTGCCTCTGAAAATGCCCTATCACCACATGACACTTTCAAAGTTTTTGGAACAACAAGGTCGTGTTTTGATGTTGATCGAGTTGTTCTTTCTCCACTTTTGACTTGTATAAGATCACTCCGGTAGTTAGGAGCTAAACCATGGATGCACTTGTAAGTGAGGAGGATTATCTTATATTGAATACGTCTGTTTATGGGGAGCCAGTGGAGGGATTTGAGCACAGGTGTAATATGGTCGCGTAGTCTTGTTCTGGTGATCAGACGTGCAGCACTGTTTTGTATGTATCTTTTGTAGTGAGGGAAGAGAAGTCCGTAAAGTAATGAATTACAATAGTCCAATCTAGATGTGATTAAAGTGTTCACTAACAGTTGAATCAGTATTTAATTATTTTCGTAGACGACCAATGTTGAACATTTTATACGGCTTCAACTTGTTTTGACATATGGTTATTTGGTGTAGCACCATGGGTCATTTGTTAGACGTGGAGAGCAGCAGACGGGGAAACTCATCGCCACATCCGGTGTATAACCCATGCATTGTTTCTTACTACATATTTTGCAACAGACCTTGATCGTCTAGGGGTTGGTTGGCTCTGGACTGGCTAATGTTGTATCTTTCTTCTTAAGGACTTCACCGTGTTTTCTTACGATACCGACTCAAAAAAGTAACAGGAACAATGATAGTTTTTTTTTTCTATACGTTTTTATGTCACAACAGTTACACAATAGTCTGCATTACAATATTTAAAATAAACATCTCTTTCTCTCAACCTCACTTCAGTAAAAGTCTAACCAGCGTGGCTAGACTCGAAAAACCACTACATCGTGAAATGGTTGTCTAAAGAACCCAATGCCTGTCTGATCTCTAAAAAATCCAATGCGAGTCTAAAAAATTATTCTAGCCCTGCTTTCTCTTATAGGTGCCAAATGGCGTAGGCTAATTAGTAATCTTCCACTCACGTGTATTTCAAACAATAACAATTTATCCTTGAAAAATTCAAATGACCAACATGTTTACTAAACCATAGCTGCGTCAACTTATCTAAATAACCAGCATACTTTCTATATTTTTGGTTATGAACTTAGAATCAATAATTTGTAAAGATAACGATATTGTTTCAGCCATCATATTTCTCCATTCCTAGTCTTTAGCCCCCATGTTCTGTTATTGTCACAATATTTCATAAACAATTTAATTTGCGTTTCAAATAAACTTATACCATAGCTAATATTTCGACAATGGAGAATAATTAAACAAGACCATAATATGATTTTACATATGTGTTCTTTAGCACAAATCCCTGCCATCCATATTAATACACTGTACAGCATGACAGGGGCAACAATAATATACATCCACATGAAAATGTGGGTTAACCCAGACATTTCAGTCACAATTAAAATGTTATTGCTCTTAAGGTAAAAATTAACAACTGAGGATAATTTACCTGACAAGAATCACCAGAATATCTTTTAGGACATGTACAATATTCAACCCCTGAAGCTACACCCATTCCAGTTCCTTGAACTGGTTTAGCAATCTGTAGACCTACTGGACCCAATCTAAAATAGCAAGAAAATAATTATACATTAGGTAAAATAATATATGTTTTATTTAATAACATAATGAACTAACATACACAAGAAAACAGTCTGACTGATATCCGCCGCCAATAACCCATAATAAGTAGATGACACTCATTAATTAATTGCTTGCATGTTCATCTTTTTACAAAGCATCGCCAAGCTTCATTACTTTTAGCAAATTGTTTATATCTGCTTAGCCTCAGCAGAAAAGCTTGTCATCAACCACAGTTAAGACCTTTAATAAAATCTACACCAAGGTTGAACATTTGTTGGAACTCAGTCAAGACATCAACTATAATGAACACCTCCATCCAGTTTGAACATTCTGCCTTAATCATCTATCAAAAATCTACACCAAGGTTGAACATTTGTTGGAACTCAGTCATGACTTCATCTATAATGAACACCTCCATCCAGTTTAATTAGAATCTCTGCTTAGCCTAAGCAGAAAATGATAACCACAAACTCAGTCTAGACATTTATCAAATGAACACCTACACCAAATTAGAACATTCTGGCTCTATATAAGAAGCTGGGTTATTGTATCCCAATGCAAGAAACAATAAAGAAAAATTAGAACTCCACAGAGTACTGGAGGCTTTCACCACACCAAAACTTCATGGTGAGCAGCTCTAGCATTCTTGACGATAATTTGTAATCGAGTGAAAAAAGGATTTTCATCAAAACAAAAATGATAATGACAGATTTTCTAAATTCGACCGCTTTGAACGGCTATCTGTTCAGCAATGTCCTCGCCTATTGAAAAATGTAACTATCCAAGAAATCGGTTGAAAATTACCAGAATTATAGCCGATTTTCAATTTTCGTGCACATTAAAGATTTACATTACTTCCAGTCTGCTCACATCTTTTGCAGTACTTATACGTGCTAACTGTTAATAAGTTTCATGAGGAAAAATCAGTATTCAGAACTCTTATCACTTCTTATAGTGAGGCTGATGTCCCCCGCCGAAATCCCAAATTAATTAGATGACACATTAATTAATAGCACATTTATTTTTTTCAAAAGTATCAAGCAATCAAACTATACACTAAGTTTCATCACTCTCTATCAAATAGAATCAAGATTATGAAACTGATAAGCTCTGCTTAGCTTCAGTTCGAAATCTTAATCATGACATTCACCTAATGAACATCTACATCAAGTTTAAACATTCTACCTCAATTAAAAGCAGAGTTGTTATGTTCCAAAGTCTTGATCAATCAAATTGCTTATCGCTCCTTAGCCTAAGCAGAAAATGTTCACCATCAAACTTAGTCAAGGTAATGATATAATGAATCTATATTCAGAGTTTCATCACTCTCACTTCATTATAACCAAAGTTATCATGCCCCAAAGCATCAACCAATCAGATTGCTTATCTCTGCTTACCGTAAGCATACAATGTTCATCATTGAACTCCATCAAGGCATTCACCTAATGAAAGCCTACACCAAGTTTGAACATTCTACATCAATTAGAATGCGAGTTATTGTGTTCCAATGTCTCGACCAATCAAATTGCTTATCGATCTGCTTAGCCTGAGCAGAAAATGCTCATTATTGAGCTTAGTCAAGGGATTGATGTAATGAAACTATACACCAAGTTTCATCAATCTCACTTAATTAGAACTAAAGTTATCATGTCTCAAAGTATCAACAAATCAAATTGCTCATCTCTGCTTACCCTAAGCAGAAAATGCTCATCTTCAAAATCCATCAAGGCATTGACCTAATAAACACCTACACCAAGTTTGAACATTCTAGTTCAATTAGAAGAAGAGTTATTGTGTTCCAAAGTCTCAGCCAATCAAATTGCTTATCGGTTTCCTTACCCAAAGCAAAAAATGCTCATTATCGAACTTAGTCAAGGTATTGATGTAATGAAACTATACACCAAGTTTCATCACTCTCACATAATTAGAACTAAAGTTATCGTGTCCCAAAGCATCAACCAATCAAATTACTTATCTCTGCTTACGCTTACCCTAATCAGAAAATGCTCATGCTCATAATCCAGAAAGTTATGGCCTGAAATGTGCAAATATCAAAAGGGACAGAGATCTTTGGGATATAACCTTCCTATTACACACAATTTGCATACAAAGAGCAGCCATTTTGTCGCCTGGGCAGTTTCATTTTGATTTTCCCGAAATACGACTTAACCTTCATATTGTGACCTCTAGAGAATCAACAGACTAAAAATGCAACTTTTTCGAAAAACCAGTGGCCATAATCCAGGAAGTTACGATCCGATATGCGCGATTATTGAAAGGAACTGAAATCGTTGGGTTATAAACTTGCATTTCAAGTTTCATCGAAATCGGATCAAAATTGTGGCCTCTTGAGGGTCCAAATATTGATATACCAAGATGTTTACACTATGTGCGTCAAGGGGCGGCCATTTTGTTTGGCAATTTTGGTCCGATTTTCATGAAACTCAACCAGACAAAATTACGGTGTAACGATTTTTCGTACAAGAAGGGGCCATAATTCAGGAAGTTACGATTCGATATGCACGAAAATAGAGAGGAACCAAGATATTTGAGTTATAAACATTCATTTCACATTTCATCAAAATCAGATGAAAATTGTGACCTCAATAGGGTCCACAAACCTGATACACAATATTTTGACACTATTTGCGAACGAGGGACGGCCATTTTGTCTGTCAGTTTTGGTCCGATTTGTATGAAATTCGAACTCAACCATCTTTAGGGCGTCACGGTAATATATTCAAAAGTCCACAAGCTAAAAACGTGATTTTTCGTACAATCAGGGGCCATAATTCAGAAAGTTATGGTCCGATATGCGCGAATATCAAAAGGAAGCGAGATCTTTGTGTTATAAACTTACATTTCAAGTTTCATCAAAATCAGAAGAAAATTGTGACCTCTAGAGAGTCCACAACCATGATATATCATATTTTTACGCTATTTGAGTACAAGGCCATTTTGTCTGTCAGTTTTGGTCCAATTTTCACGCAATTCGAACTCAATCATCCTTCGGGTGTAAAGGTGATATATTCAAATGGTTTTTGAAATCGGATAAAAATTATAACCTCTATAGGATCCACAAACTAAAAACATAATTTTTCATACAATCAGGGGCCATAATTCCGGAAGTTACGGTCCGATATGTGCGAATATCGACAGGAACTGAGATCTTTGGGTTATAAACTTACATTTCAAGTTTCATCAAAATCAGAGGAAAATTGTGACCTCTAGAGAGTCTACAACCTTGATATATCCTATTTTTATGCTATTTGAGTGCGAGGGGCGGCCATTTTGTCTGTCAGTTTTGGTCCGATAATTCGAACTCACCCATCCTTAAGATGTAACGGTGATATATTCAAACGTTTTTTTAAATCGCATAAAAATTATGACCACTATAGGGTACACAAGCTAAAAACTTGACTTTTCGTACAATCAGGGGCCATAATTCAGGAAGTTACAGTCCGATATGCACGACTATTGAAAGGAACTGAGATCTTTGGGTTATAAACTTACATTTTAAGTTTCATCAAATTCAGAAGAAAATTGTGACCTCTAGAGGTTCCACAACCTTGATATACCATATTTTTACGCTATTTGAGAACGAGGGACGGCCATTTTGTCTGTCAGTTTTGGGCCGATTATCACGAAATTTGAACTCAACAATCCTTAGGGTGTGACAGTAATATACTGGAACGTTTTTTTTAAATTGAATAAAAATTATGACCTCTATAGGGTCCACAATCAGGGGCCATAATTCAGGAAGTTACGATCCGATATGCGCGAATTTCGAAAGGAACCGAGATCTTTCAGTTATAAACTTATATTTCAAGTTTCAACAAAATCAGATAAAAATTGTAACCTCTAGAGGATCCACAATCTAAAAACGCGATTTTTCGTACCATCAGGGGCCATAATCCATGAAGTTATGGTCCGATACATGCCAATATCGAAAGGAACCAAGATCTTAGGGAGATAAAGCTATATTTCAAGTTTCGTTGAAATCGGATAAAAATTGTGACCTGTAGAGTGTCCACAAACAAATTGTGGACGGACGAACGGACAAACAGGGGCGACAACAATATACGTCCACATGAAAATGTGGGCGTATAAAAACAATAGTCTTTCAGACAAAGTCTGAAAACCTAATAACTTGAACAAAAACAATAAGCTTTCATATGAATAATCATAGTAATATCAATAACTTACTCTGCATAATTAGCTTTACCATCACTGGTAGCAGGTATGAGTATAGCCTTTATATCTTGTAAAACAACCATCATTAAAGCTCTGCTGATTGGATTTCTGGAACCTGGTTGACGCCAATAATACTACAAAATAAAAATAAATAAACTTGACCTTTCTACCATTTACCGGTAAACAATGTAACTTCATATACCAATGGATGTCGTAAACCAAAAAGTCAATGTTAACGAAAGATATTTATTAGTCTGAAAGAGATACAGAGACACCAAAACAAGCAGTTGCAATACAAGACACACCCACATTTTTACAAGAGATGGAAAGAGAACAAGCTAATAAAATAAAAATATTTTTCGTACAATCAGGTTTCATAATCCAGGAAGTTACGGTCCGATAAGCGCAAATATTGAGAAAGGAACCAAGATCTCTGGGATATAAAGGGTCAACAACATTGGAATTACATACTTTTACACTGTTCGCGTACAAGGATCCGCAATTTTCGAACTCAAGCATCATTATGGTGTAATGGTGATATATTTCAACACATTTTAAAATTGGATAACCAGCGGCTGCCAGGCAGGATACGCCCACATCGAGAGATGGATAGAGAACAAGCTAAAAAGAAAGTGATATTTCCTACAATCAAGGGCCATAATTCAGGAAATTACAATTCGATATGCGCAAATATCGAAAGGCACCAAGATCTTTGTGTTATAAACTTACATTTCAAGTTTCAACAAAATCTGATAAAAAATGTGACCTCCAAAGGATCCACAACCTTGATATACCATATTTTTACGCTATTTGAAAACGAGGGACAGCCATTTTGTCTGTCAGTTTTGGGCCGATTATCAAGAAATTCGAACTCAACAAACCCTCGAGTGTGACAGTGATATAGGGGTCTTTAGCAGCGGGAGGAAACCGGAGGACCCGGAGAAAACCCACAAGGTTGGACAGGCGACCCTACTCCTTGTCACGTACAACCGGGGATTTGAAACCCCGCCAGTTGACTCAATGACAGACCGTATGATACAGCGCAGCGTGCACATGCTAACCATTCGGCCATCCAACCCCCCTCGTACAATCAGGGGCCATAATTCAGGAAATTACTGTCCCATATGCACGAATATCGAAAGGAACCAAGATCTTTGGGTTATAAACTTACCTTTCAAGTTTCAACAAAATCGGATTAAAATTGTGACCTCTATAGGGTCCACAAGCTACCAACGTGATTTTTCGTACAATCAGGGGGCATAATTCAGGAAGTTACGGTCCGATATGCGCGAATATCGAAAGGAACCAAGATCTTTGGGTTATAAACTTACATTTCAAGTTTCAACAAAATTGGATAAAAATTGTGACCTCTATCGGGTCCACAACCTTGATATACAATATTTTTACGCTATTTGAGAACGAAGGGCGGGCTTTTTTTTCTGTCAGTTTTGGGCCGGTTTTTACGAAATTCGAACTCAGCAGTCCTTAGGGTGTAACGGTGATATAATAATATGTTTTTTTAAATCGGATAAAAATTATGACCTCTATAGGGTCCACAAGCTAAAAACGCGATTTTTCGTACAATCAGGGGCCATAATTCAGGAAGTTACGGTCCGATATGCGCAAATATCGAAAGGAACTGAGATCTTTGGGTTATAAACTTACATTTCAAGTTTCAACAAAATCGGATAAAAATTGTGACCTCTATAGGGTCCACAACCTTGATATACCATATTTCTACGCTATTTGAGAACGAACGGCGGCCATTTTGTCTGTCAGTTTTGGGCCGATTTTCACGAAATTCGAATTCAGCTGGCCTTAGGGTTTAATCGTGATATAATAATACGTTTTTTTAAATCGGATAAAAATTATGACCTCTATAGGGTCCACAAGCTAAAATCGCGGTTTTTCGTACTATCAGGGGCCATAATTCAGGAAGTTACGGTCCGATATGCGCGAATATCAAAAGGAACCGAGATCTTTGGGTTATAAACTAAAATTTCATGTTTCAACAAAATTGGATAAAGATTGTGACCTCTATAGGGTCCACAATCTTGATATACTGTATTTTTACGCTATTTGAGAACAAACGGCGGCCATTTTGTCTGTCAATTTTGGGCCGATTTTCACGAAATTCGAACTCAGTCGTCCTTAGGGTGTAACGGTGATATAATAATACAGTTTTTTAAATCGGATAAAAATTATGACCTCTATAGGGTCCACAAGCTAAAAACGTAAGTTTTCGTACAATAAGGGGCCATAATTCAGGAAGTTCCTGTCCGATATGCGCGGGATCTTTGGGTTATAAACTTACATTTCAAGTTTCAACAAAATCGGATATAAATTGTGACCTCTATCGGGTCCACAAGCTAAAAACGTGATTTTTCGTACAAACAGGGGCCATAATCCATGAAGTTTTGATCCGATACATGCCAATATCGAAAGGAGCCGAGATCTTTCGGAGATAAACCTATATTTCAAGTTTCGTCAAAATCGAATAAGAATTGTGACCTGTAGAGTGTCCACAAACAATTATGGACGGACGGACAGGGGCGACGACAATATACGTCCACATGAAAATGTGGGCGTATAAAAATTGTGACCTCTAGAGTGTCCACAAGCTAAAAACATGATTTTTCGTACAATCAGGGGTCATAATCCAGGAATTTCGAATATGCACGAATATTGAAAAGAACTGATATCTATTATGTTCGTTGCAGACAAACATTTATTAGTCAGGAATGATTTACATCGAAATGGTAAACTTCAAGAAATCAAATCAGCATGGTGAACATCTTACTACACATGAACGATGACGTAAGGTATGAGTCATCATTCTGGAATGTACTATTATGGAATGATACATAGGTCATAATTACTTCATCATATGTGACCCCCCATAGCAGTTTTGAGAAAAAGCAAGTCAAAGATTTGGTATGTTCCAAAACAAAATCCCATAGCAACCAGGCCATTTATTTGCTGTTTTGTCGTTGAATATATCTTTCCATGGGTTTTCAGGGGTGCTGAAGACGAAAATCTTAGTAAAAATTTGATCCGACTATTTCCGCAATTTATTTGCTGCTGACGACGAAAATCGTAATAAATGCACTCCTTTCGTAACGAAACATCCACAACACATACGGCATAATATTCACATGATAGTCTGTTTAGTATATTCTAACTTTGGTGAGTCTCAGTTAATCTCATCAATTAATTAGCAAATTAGTGCCAGCTAGTGGTCAGGAGATTAAGATTGTTGATTGGATAATCAACAGCTGTACGCGTGTTCATTTAACATGTGAATTAAAATAAGAATTTGCGTGTATGATAGGTCTATTATTATTTTCAGGTTCAGGTACTGTGACGTTATCAAAATATGAGTCCCTATACACTAAGGACAGGGTACTGTCCAGACTTGACGAAAAAAGGAAAGAAACTAAGCTTATCGTCAAGAATTTAATACACGTATCCAGCTAATAGATTGCCGTCAAGAATGTGTTAAATGCCGTCAAGATTCACCAAAAACCGCCCAGTTTGTGCTACCGTGTAGATTAAGAAACACCCTTTACTTTTGACAACGATCGTCTGCTTTACGACCGTCCACTTTCTCGGAATGTTTTTTAGAAATGAACACTACCATTTAGATTTGAAAGGGGTTTAGTTTTAAGACAAGGCGTTTATTTTCTCGGACGTTGTCAAGAAATGAACAGAGTGTTTAATTATTTAAGGCGTTTAGATTTTATGCCAAATTACCACTTTACCGAGAGCGGTCTAGTAACTTATGGGTGAGGAGTAATGCAATGCCGTTTACTTTTCATGTCTTGTAATTAGTTTGCCCAGTGTCATCTAGAAACTTAAGGCGTTTGTTTTTGTGTGAAATATTTAATTTCTGTCTCCCAATTTTAGAAACTATGTTCAGATTTAGAATCTGAGTATAGTGTCTAAAATTCTCGAATGAATTGCATATTTGTTGAATATCGTCCATTCTTCGGTATTGCCGACGTCCATTGGGAAAAGTCGATTTACAATGAATTGACAATTTTCCCGGTGTAGATAAAACTCACATTTTATTTATTAGAAAATAACAAAACAATGGACGTATATCTTGTTATTTATAATCTTGCTTTCTGGGTTATTTACCCGCTTCCGCAATTAATAACAAATGTATTTGTGAATTTACAAATTAATGTGTGCAGTTCTTGTTTCGGCCACAAATGAAACGTCATTTTCGCTATTTATCTAGACGTCTTTGGGGGACTATTTTCGCCAACATTTATTTTTGTATCCCCACCCCTTGGGAATGTTGAAGAAATACCGAAGGAGGGGAATTGCTAACAATTGTAGGTACAGTTTCCCTACATTGAAACGGGCAAGGACCGCAAATCGTATCTAGTTTATAATTAGTCTTGTCACAATAAAATCGTGTATTCCTAATCAAAAAACAAAAGCAAAACAAGCAGGGTCATTATAATATCTAATATCCAAATACATGGAAATGAAATGAAATGAAATGGGATTTAACGTCTTACTGTTCTGCTCCTATACTGGGCTAATGAAGACGGGCATACGCCATACAGTGTGCTATGAGGGAAATTTTGCCCGGGCAGCGGTAGTATCACCTACTCTTATATCGAATTCCAACTGCCAAGGGATCTTTTACATGCATTCCAATGTTTACATGGGACCTCGGTTTTTCGTCTCATCCGAAGGACTAGACAGCTGTCCTTGTCAGGCCCTCCGTCCTGCATCACTGACAAGGGGAGACCACGTCGGAAAATCGGGATGAACTTTCTCGGCCAATGCAGGGATCGAACACCCGACCTCCAGGCTAGCGAGCCAGCGCCTTACCCAACTAGCCACCGTGGCTCCAAAATACATGGAAAGTTCCTCTACAAACTATATGCACATATAACACTTATCAGTTTACACACTAACATTCGGGATACCTCACATCCAAGTCTAAAACCTAATCCACGTATTGTTTACAAACACAAAATATAAAACATATTTACTCAAAAGTTCAAAATTTAATCGGCGATATCAGATTATATTCTTTGAATGACCTACTACTATTGTTTTATAAATGACAAATTCCAGCCACGTCCTAGCTGTCTCTGTTCCATCTGAAACCATA